TGTGTATATCTCTAGAGATGTAGTCTTTGATGAAACGGTTTTTCCCTTTGCAAAACTCCACCCAAATGCTGGTGCATTGCTCCGCAAAGAGATCCTTCTCTTGCCCTCTTCCTTATCCGGCGTTGATCATGGGGGAGAGAATAATAGTACTAATCAACTTGCCTCTAATCATCATATTTTCCTGAGATTATTGCTGCAGAAACTAGCTCAAATGGTGAAAATCCAAGGCAAAATGGGCAATATTTTATGTGCCCCCCAGCTGGAGACATGGACGCGCACCGAGGAGGATCTGCCTCGGGATCCTCGCGGCAGGAAGCACCATCCTCTCCGGGATCCGGGCGGACAGGGCGGCCAGCACCTGGGCGCGCCTCGGGCCTCGAACGCACGCGCGGTCGCGAAAGCGACGTCGTTGCCCTGCACCAATCGGCTGGTGACACGTGGCGGGAGGACACTCGCGCGGCCGGGCCTCGCTCGCCTGATTGGCCCGCACCGGATTCGTCGGGGCCCGCCACCTCCGACCGGCCGCATGCGCCAGAGTCACCCGGCCCGCTGCAGACTCGCCCGGGGCCGCCACCTCGCCTCGATCGCTGTCGCCAGCAGGCGTGACAGGATCCCCCTCGGGATTGCTGCGGTTGCGGTCGCCAGCAGCAGCGACAGAATCCCCCTCGGGATCCAGTTTGCCAGCGCCTGATGCAGATGGATCCCCTGCGGCTTCGCCTCCTGTGGCTTCTCCTGTGGCGCCACGCACAAGGCTACAGAAGGGAGTAACTACTCGTTTAAATTACAAAAACTTCTCTAAGATTGGTATGTCTTGCACAACTGGTGAGCCTAACAGTTTAATGTCAGCACTTGATGATCCAAGATGGAAGGCAGCCATGGAAGATGAGATCATGGCGTTGCGAAAAAATAAAACATGGCACCTAGTGCCCCCACGACCAGGCAGAAATTTGATTGATTGTAAGTGGGTCTACAGAATCAAAAAAAAATCTGACGACACCATAGACAGATACAAGGCAAGACTTGTAGCAAAGAGATTCAAGCAAAGGTATGGCATAGATTATGAGGATACATTTAGTCCCATAGTTAAAGCTGCAACAATCCGCCTTGTATTGTCAATAGCTGTGTCCAGAGGATGGAGTCTGAGACAGCTAGATGTCCAGAACGCGTTCCTTCATTGTGTTCTGGAAGAGGAAGTGTACATGAAGCAACCTCCTGGGTTTGAGGATAAAAGTGCACCATCATATGTCTGCAAGCTTGATAAAGCCTTGTATGGTTTGAAACAGGCACCCAGAGCATGGTACTCGCGATTAAGTATGAAACTCCAGTCTCTTGGTTTTGTTCCATCAAAATCTGACACCTCTCTGTTCATTTATAATAAGCATAGAACATCCATATTTGTTTTGATATACGTTGATGATATCATTGTCACTAGTTCTTCTGATGGAGCTGTGACAGCACTGCTTAAGGATTTAGGCTCTGAGTTTGCTCTGAAGGATTTGGGAGATCTGCATTTCTTCTTGGGTATTGAAGTCAAGAAACATAGCAATGGTATTCATCTGTCTCAAGCAAAGTATGCCACTGAACTGCTAAGTAGAATTGGTATGCAGAATTGTAAATCCTCACCAACACCCTTGTCTAGTTTGGAACCCTTATCCTTGACAGAAGGAGAATCGTTGCACCAAGAGGACATCACTGATTACAGAAGTCTAGTTGGTGGACTTCAGTACTTGACTTTGACTCGACCTGACATCTCTTTTGCAGTTAATAACGTGTGTCAGTATCTTCATGCACCTACCACAGCACACTGGACAGCTGCAAAACGAATTCTCAGGTATATAAGCAACACTATACACTTGGGTCTCACACTCAGCAAGTCATCTTCCACACTTGTCAGTGCATTCTCAGATGCAGACTGGGCTGGTTGTTTGGATGATAGAAGGTCAACAGGTGGTTTTGCCATTTTCTATGGATCCAACTTAATATCATGGTGTGCAAGAAAGCAAGCCACTGTTTCTAGATCAAGTACAGAAGTAGAATATAAAGCACTAGCAAATGCAACAGCAGAAGTCATTTGGGTTCAATCCATGCTCAGAGAACTTGGGATAATTCAGACTCAGCCACCGTGCTTATGGTGTGATAACCTTGGTGCCACATACTTGTCTGCAAATCCAGTTTTCCATGCCAGAACAAAGCACATTGAAATAGATTTTCATTTTGTGAGAGAACGTGTTGCCAACAAACAACTTGAGATCAGATTTATACCATCCAAATATCAGCTTGCAGATGGATTCACTAAAGCTTTGCCAGTGAGAAGTTTTGAAGAGTTTAAACGTAATCTCAACTTGTCATAGTTGTGATTATGGGGGAGTGTTAAACGTATAATGTACAGGTTGATTGGCGTGACCTTGTGGTCCACGGCATAGTTAGTTAGGAGGTTTAAGTTTTCATGTTTATCTCTCTCTCTTATCTCCTAAACCCTCTTGTAATATCTCTGATGGTTAGCCTCGACGCTGCCTCCTCTTGTACCGAACCCCCTTGATCAATATATATTCTGGGGGTCTCCATGTATGGAGATTGAGACGCTTCCATAATCTTCCACAATTACTACATGTGTGAATTGTTTCGTGAATTTTTGCAAAACGAAGAAAACCTGAATTTTATGTTGGCATGCATGTCCTGGAGGCAGAATGCATTAAATAATTGTGAACAGTGCAGCTGCATGGGGACAACTTTCCTCACTTCCGAGGCAGGTCCAGTATTGCAGAAAACGAATTCAACTAATTGCGATGAATGTGAAGTATGCTCCCAGTTGGCTGAAGTCTGTTCTTGGTTCAAAAAAGAGAGAATCAAAATTACTTTACATTAGTAGGTCAAAACACAATAAAATCTTTTTCACGTCGTTTACTCCTTTGTATCCGGAGTCAACCTTTGTTGTAGTTCTTTAACATAGTTTTCTAGGTTTAGAATTTTCTGAAAATGCTACTTTTTTGTAAAGTTTCGTGATGAAATAGATTTCTATGTGGACTACATAAAAAACCAAAATCTTGTATTTCTAGCAAATGTACCATTCACTACAAAGTACATTGATGAATGCCTTCTAGGAGAAAATTTTATCAGCCAAAAAATCTTGAAGGACAAATATGGGATCCCTGCCAGGGCCCCAACAATTGTCACATGCTCAGACCAACATACAGACTTTATTTTCAGACCGCCTCAACACTTAGATGCTAAATCATCAGAATTTTTGGGAGGCAGAAATTCGTCTTGGTGCTACACGTATCGAGGCTATAAACAATGTGTACAGTGTTATGTTCGGTCATGGAGACAGGCTTCACGCCATCCGAGAAGACTATATTTTATACCCCTACTGTGGGCTTTTATTAAGAACTGTAGGTTTGATAATCGCTGTTTGATGCTTCGCGTCATGCTTTACAATTCCCGCCATGCACAGATCTCCGTGAGAGCTACCAGTAGATATGTGGTGCTGAGCGTAGGTTCGACGGCACCATGGTTCCGTTCAATATTTTCGTTCGGCGGCCTGCACCCTCCTAGTCGCAGGGGCCCGGTATGGGAGGCGGTCGGGCCGCGCTCGTCGCTCACGCTCGCCGGCACCCAGATGCTCCAGTACTTCTACCGCAAGGTCGTCCTCTCGGCCTCCCCGCGCCCGGGCTGCTACGCCGCGATGCTCGTCCTGCACAGGGACTTCGGCGCCCCGGCGTTCGCGTCGGCGGAGGACCCCGTGTGGCGCCTGGCGCCCTCGCCCGACGCCGTCGACGACGCCATCCACCACGACGGCCGGTTCTACTCCGTCACGTGCTCGGGCGTCGTGCAGGCGTGGGAGCGCGACCCTCGCGGTGCCGACGGCAAGATGACCGGCACGGCGATCGCGCCGAGGCTGGCGCTGGCGGATCAGGACAAGGCGGCGGAGTCGGCAACCCCGAGGCTGACGGACAACTACTCGCTGTGCCGCCCCCGCAAGTACCTGGTGGCGGCGCGGGACGGACGGCTGATGATCGTCGTCAAGCGCTAGGAGGAGCTCTGGCTGAAGTGGACGTGCTCCTTCAAGGTGTACGTCCTCCACGACGCCGCCGGGCAGTGGGAGGAGACGGACGACATCGGCGAGGCGGCCCTGTTCGTCGGGCTGAACAACTCGCTGTGCGTGTCGACGAGGGAGCACGCCGGGCTCAAGGCCGGCCGCGTCTACTTCACCGACGACGAGCTGGAGCACGCGGCGTGGCGCACGGACGAGCGCAATCGCTATCTCTACCGCAGACGTGGCTTCCAGAAGCGGTGCATCGGGGTTTACGACCTCAAGAGCGGCAGGCTGAAGAAGGTCAGGTCGCCCGTGGAGCGGCCCAGCTTCTGGCCGCCGGCAGCCTGGTTCACGGCTTCGACGACAGTCTCAACGTAGCCACCAGCTTTTCGCAATCATCTCAATATTATTTGTTTCCATTCGTGGTTGCATATTCGTCCATAGGGCAAATCCGGTATGTGATTATTGGAACGTAGGCTCCTCTATCCGCAACCACGATGAACTCACTCCGGTGAAGACCGCCCGTTCGACGAAATGCGTTGACAAAACCATTGGTTACCACGGTATTTTGGTCCACTCCAACTGTCAAAATGGATGACTGAGGGATCACCCTTGGAGATGCCCTTAGTCGATTTCAAAGGAGAAAGTTTTTTCGCTGGCCATAAAAGCCATTAACCGGTTTTTCGTCATCACCAAAATGCCTTAAAAAATTGCCGGAAAAAATGCCTTACAATTTAATCAACTTTTGATCCAGGACCAACTCACATCAGCCAACCACAGATAATTAATACTTATACTATACAGCAAGCAAATTCCACGCAGATATGCAAATATCTTCATTTATTTACAAACAGGCTGTAGAAACGAATTTCAAACAACTACCAGCACAAATGAAACTCACACATTTTTAATACTCCTGCCTACCAGCACAAACATCATCACCAACTAATTAGGCTCTCACATTTTCTCAGCGAGGGTTGGTGCTGCGCACCACGCCGCTGAGAAGGTTGCTGCCGGAGGCGTCCGAGGACGACATGTACTGGTAGGCCATCATCAACCCCCCGGCGGACGACGACGACAGCTGCGTGCCTGTGCGGCCCGGGGTCCATGGACACCGAGACTCGGACTCCAACGGCACGCTATCCGTCTCTGGCGTCATCTGCCATATCGTCTCCAGCTCCCGCACCACCTCCACCATGGACGGCCTCGCGTCCGTCTCGTCCCGGCAGCACCGCAGCCCCAGCGCCGCGAACCTCTCCACGCACTCCCACGGGCACGGACCCATCCGTGTGTCCACCACCGACAATATCATCCCTGACTGGTTCGCCGCCACAACCTGCATATGCGTGTATGTAATGCATTATTGTCACAATTCGGTTTCAGTTTGCTAGCATCACAAAAATCACTACGGTGCAATATATTCTCTGCTCCATCGATTTGAATTTTGATGGTTACCTCTCTGACCAGGTTTTTCCCATGAGAAATGGGCTGCATCCCTGTCAGCAGTTCCAGAAAAACGACACCGAGGCTGTACACGTCGCTCTTGTCCGTCAGATTATGCGTGAGGAAATACTCCGGGTCAAGATAACCCTGCATGGTGTAAACAACGGCAACTAAATCAGCAATGCAGTGTCACCAACATGACGCCAAGAACTAGATGTTAGAAGATACTCCCTCCATATCAAATTGAACTGCAAAAACGTCTTATATTTTGGTACAGACAGACCTTCAAAAAAATATTTTGGTACAGACTAGTACGTGACACTCAAAACTGATACAGATCCTCACCTCAAGTGCAACATGCTTATTTATGCACAACTAGTTGATGCCAAGATATGCGATACCATTTGGTACAACCTACTCACCGGGGTACCCTTCACAACAGTGGACACATGACCAGGGGCGACCCCCTCCATTGCCGGCAGTGGGGCAAGCCTCGAGAGACCAAAATCAGAAACCTTTGCTACAAACTTCGAGTCCAATAAAATATTGCTAGACTTGATGTCACGATGATATATCGGAGGGTCTGCTTCCGTGTGCAAGTAGAGGATCCCTCGTGATGATCCCAGTGCAATTCGTAACCTCATGGGAAAACTTAGAGCCTCTTTAGCTTTAGCTGTTACGTAAATAAAGCACTAGTTAGAGGAACTTTACAGGACAGGCAGCACACCAAAAGCAAGGTAGAGGCATATTCTTAGCACACGTACAATAAAGCAAGAATAATTTGCAAGCAAGCAAAAAAGCATGGAGATTTCATTGGCTTGAGCCTGACTACCAAAATCCAAAACATAGTTATCAAAAATTAGGTTCCTTCACACCTCACGAGTGATTGAATTTCCCTGCTGTGGTCAGTTGTGAGTTCTAGCTGAGGAAACTATTGATGGAACAGAGGCATTTATCGCCAAGATGGCATGCACTAGACTATTATGTGTGCACAATGATCACGACGGGCAAATTTCATACGTTTGTCTCGATATCATTTCTCAGCTGGATCTAACATCTAATTGTATGACTGTAAGTCTGTCACTGTGTTATCTGTGGCAAGAGAAAAGGCCAAAGATTGCATATCTGTGCATGGTAGATAAATAGAAAAACACCATTGCCTGACAGGATAAACATGGAACAAAGTAATTCAATAAGATAAGCACATTTCAGAAATTATGACCAAGTGTACAATTCTGAGGTGCAGTTTAGTGGCTACAGAAATGAAGTCCTAACCTGAAAGATGATCACGTAGATTACCATTTGGCATATACTCATACACCAGCATCTGCGATACATGGTTCACAGTATGAGTTTAATCATCATAACATTGGACCAAAAATTAAGTAACATTCGGCATAAACAGCAACAGGCCAGCTTCTGCCATTAAGAGTGCCCTGAAGATGAGCTCTCGATACCAAAGTGCCAATCAACAGAAAATGAGCTTACAATGTCTATGGACAAGGAATCACTTCTGCACTAAACAATAAACAATGTGTTGAATTGATCTAGCAGAAATAGCCTAAACATGTGTTGATGTATAGAAATGGGTTGATAATGTGTGTTGATGTATATGTACTTCACCAGATACATGGGTCGCAATTGATATGGATATCAAATTTTCCACAGCCCATTCTAGAAAAAGAAAGCAGCTGAATAATAAAGCAGCATTTGATGAAATTGGTATTTCTGGTTGGAGGGACAACCTGCTCATTATCTTCATCGCAATATCCAACCAAAGAAACCAGGTTTCGGTGATGCAGCCTGGACAACAATTCTATCTCTGTGAAGAACTCCTCTGAACCCTGAAGAGATCCCTGTTGTGTACGTTTTACTGCAGCTCCTGTTCCATCAGCCAGAACCCCCCTGTATACTTTTCCATACCCTCCTTGACCAATTAGTGCCGAGTCACTAAAATTGCTTGTACAATTTGATAATTCTTCAAAAGTGAGGTCTCTTACGCCATCAATTTTCATCTGAATTCTTTTCGCTGCAAAGTCAGTAGAATTTTGTCATCGAATGACCATAACAATTTCGTCACAACAAGCTCAGATGAATATCAACTCATATAAAGAAGTCATGACGATACATACAATGCTGCAACTCTGTACTAACAAAATCAGAGACAAAAGAAGTGACAACTGTTTTAAATAAAAAAGGTGGATACCTGAAATATTACAATGTATTTGAAAAAGAGATGAATAATCTAACAACTTTAGATAATTTTAGACAAAGGAAAAACATTTGAAAAAGAGATGAAATATTACAATGTATTTTACAATGTATGGTTTACCAGTGCGTCTCTTTGAAATTTGACTTGAACGCCTTCTCAATATAATTAGAGTAACGAGGGATGAAAGAATTGCCGCTGCAGCAAATGCTGCGATGACAATACCAACAGTGGCACCTGTACTGAGACTGGACTCTGTACGACGCGGTAGTACTGAAAAGAAAGCATGGGAACATGTGAGTTCTCTCTTCAGTAGTTGCTACAACTGCTGGATACCAAGCTGGCAACACTTTTGTAGTGGTTACATTTGATAAATAGCACCGTATATGATGGATACTTCCACAACAGTGCTATCAACATCCTCTTAGATATCAAACTATTCCTTTAAGATACCAAACTATTCTTTTCTGTAGACCTAACTACATTGTACTCAATCCAATGTTTTTCCTTTGTCGTGAGCCAAACCGTTAGATGTTGTGTTACTCTCTTCTTTGCTTATTTCTACATGCATGTACATATACATATATTGGCCTTTGGCCCAGGGAATACAGCAAGGTTCCAGCACAAGGGTAAACTTGACCAATTAATTAAAAAGACATTGAGAATCAAGGCGTTGAAGCCCTATGACAAGGAGTGAACAAGAGCACACTTACGACCTCAACAAGGAAAAACTTGATAACAGGAAAAAGTTTAGGGACATGTTAAGTTGAGGGTGTTGTGTGAAAATTCGTTGCAGGTTCAGAGACATACAATGAAGCTTACTAAGTTAGGACAAGTGGGCAACGGTAATATGCTTATTTGATTGATGTGGGGTTTGGAGATCTGCATTGGGGAAGATGAAGAGAGGAGGCCTCGGCAGCTCCACTGTGCGCACGTAACTGCACGTATGATCACTAATACAAACATCTATATACGACAAGATAAACATGGTGACAAAATTGCAACGAAACGAAATATGGAGTGGAGTGAAGATAAAGTAACATATATACATACCATTTTCATACCACCCTGGGATGAAGTCGATAAGCTCATAGGGCCCAAATATATCCGAGTCTGTGATGAGCCACCCTGTGAACATGTCCCTCAGTCTCAGCACTTCACCAGAGTTAAACAACGGAGTGTTGTTAGGGAAAAGCTTAAGGTTCATCTTCAGTCTTGGGCCTTCTTCCCACATAAAAGTAGAGACTTCCAATTGATACGAAGACAATGAAAGACCAGATGATAAGTAGTGTTGAAATTCAGCTTCGTACGGAACAAAATCCCAGAATCCTGGACTCTTCAGCCGGTAATCGACGTGAAGTGGAATAGCACATAAGCATGGGATTGGTGACCTTAGTATGTTTTCGTGAGGAAGGTCGGTTGAGCATGGCGGACAAAGTGTATTGTTATTTGTGGAACCTCCAGGAACAACAACTGAAATTGATTGGCAATACTGAGATATATTCAGTTGATTTTGCGATGTGCATATGGGGTTTCCAGATAACCTAAAAACATGGATGGTAAAGGAAAGAAAATATAAGGTACTGGAAATGATGAATGGATCTGAAAAATGGAAAAGATAAGTGTTCAATAGAAATGCATACAGGATGGTAACATTCGCAGGGGGTGTAAGAGGATTTGATAGATTCGTGAGAGCGTTGTTATGGAAATCCCTGCAAAATAGTTGAGGGGGGATATTAGATTACCAGTCCTGAAGAAATATGTCAATTATATACCATTCTATAAAATCAAAAAGGTGAAGCAGAAGGTTCAATTTATGATGATCTTACAATATCAGGCTTCTATTTCCACTGAAATCAATATTTCGCCAGACATCAGATGGAACAGAACCATCCAAGTTATTATTCTCCATTGACCTGAATGAAGACCAAATAAAAAAATCAGCTCAGCCTGATTCAAATGATCATTGATGGACAGTACTGTGATGCAAAACTGTTTAAACTTATGTTTGTTCAAAATTAAAGTTGTTGTCATGGCATGGACCCGGAGAAGGTACTCTGCAATCAATCATTGTCCATGCGAGACTACCCTAAGGGACAAAGGGAGTAATTCGCTACTATTCAGCAATAATGAAGTAAGAGCATCCCCCCTTTCTAGAGATCTATCCCCTATCAAATATTAAAGGCCGTAATAGCATGGAGAACGTAATATCAGACTTACAATCTTTGGAGATTAGGAAGGCCGGAGAAACTTCCAGGAATAGAACCGTTAAGACGATTGTGGGAAAGATCTCTGCACAACTTGCAAAAGTGAGTGTAAACTGAAAATAGAAGTTTCATTGGGGAAAAAGGGATCAATAAATAATACTTAAAAAACAAAATGGCATGAAATCTTTGAGAGGGCCTTATTTTTATACATTGTAGTTATGTTGCTCGCTAGTTTGCCAGATGGTATGGGACCCGTCAACTGATTCCAACTAATATCCCTGAAACAACATAACAAAGATCAGAGCAAGTGATAGCTGCCAAATTCACCTAAGGCCTTGCACAATGCTAGATGTTTAGGGAGGTGCTTAGAAAAATAAACCAGATTTTTCTGAAGCACCGGTGCCTATTTCTACAGGAGAGACACCTAATTAAGCGTCTACTCTGTACAAATAAGCACTAATGCTTAAGAAAAGCCTGGTTTATTTCTCTAAGCACCTCCCCTAAGTACCTTGCATTGTACAAGGCCTAAGCATCACGGTTGAGATTTTTTTTTCCTAAACAAATAGGTAGTGCGTAGTTCAGAATGCTACGTACAAGTAGCCAAGTTGCGGTATTCCACTGGCATCAAGAGCGGGACCTTCCAAGCTGCAGTTTCTCAAACTCCTGATATAGACCATATCAATTAGATTAATCTGAGACTGTCATACATACTGTAAAAGAAAAGCAAGTTAAGATTCTTTATTTCTTTTGCAGAACTCAACCAAATTAAGGGCCATCCTCATTGCAATAATGACGACCAATGTGAAATCATCATTATTAATATTATAATTCATTTGAGCACATAGCTAAAAAAGCAGAGAGATGGAGAACATACTTACAACTTCAGAAGTGTGGTGATATTGCCATAAGATGAAGGAATTGAACTCCCCGAGAAGTTGTTATTGTCTAGCTGGCTGGGATCATTTTGAAAAGACGCAATTAGACGTGCAGTGAATGTTTATATATATCTTTACAAGTGATATCTCAAAGACATGTAAAAAGACTAAGAAAATGAACTGGAAGTTACTCGAGTTGCTATGGGTCTTCTTTCCAGTTACTTTGAATTACTCATGGTATATAAATAACAGAAAAATGCAAAATCGACTAGCAGTTATATTGTTTCAGCAGCATACAAGCTTTCAGTGATTTACTGCTGGCAAGAAATAATGCCCTAAAGATCAGGGTAAAATCAGAAGTAATCCTAAACAACTAACAGAGCTAATGCCAGTTAAAGCAACTTCCCAGTATTACGAGAATAAGCTATCACAAGGAACAGGCCAGCAGCAACTTTTCAGTAGAAGAGAACAGTGGAGCAGACATTCTTTGTTTGTGTTGCTCCCAAAGTTGTAAGTAAACCGTAAACTATTCATTTAAGCTACAAAACAACAAATACAGGAGAACTACTGCTTATGATCTTCATTTAGGGCCGACAGATCAGTCCAATTCATAATCAAAGATTGATATCCAGCCCACCCAACCAAAATAATCAAAAACTGTATATTATTCAAACTACTGCACAATAGTGGGCTTCATACACGATAAGCAGTTTTGGTAGCTGCGATAATTCTGGAGGAAGATAGCCAGATAAGTTATTGTTATCCAACAATCTGCAAACCAATTATACTGTCAGTGGGGTATAAATGAAAACCAATATTATGGTACAGCAGAGGTCAGGTACTTACAGATGAACAAGGGAAGGTAATCTGGACAGTTCAGGTGGAATTTGACCACTCAATGAATTATTGTTCATGTGACTGGATAGTAAATGGAAATCCATTAGGATAAGGATAACTATCACTCGTTAACAGAGAGGCTAAAACATATCCTACTTACAAGTGCTCGGTTTTGTTCAGGTTAGCGAATGATTTAGGTATGGATCCGGATATATGGTTCTGATCAATCTGAATCCTATTCAAATTAGGAACGAAGCCAATTTCCTCTGGTAAAGAACCAGTCAACTGGTTCCCATTTAAGAGCCTGCAAATATAAACAATGCACACCTTGTTACAGGAGCAAAACGAACTGTGAAATCATCTCAGAGAAACAACTATTTATTGAAACACCTGCAAGCAATAACTAAGTTAACATATACAGAAAAATGATAACCTCCATGTCTAACCAGAAATATATTAAGGAAATTGATTCAGGTAGACCATGTTTCTAATCCGTGGTGTAGATTTCGACTTACAATAGTTCCAGGGAAGTAATGTTGCCAACCTCCTTAGGAATGCTCCCACCAATTGAGTTCCACATAAAATCCCTTGAAAGGAAATTAAAAGTACTCAGTCGCCCCTTGTGCATGTAGGACTGGATTAAATGAACAGGCAATCCACATGATAATTACCGAGCTCAGCTCACTGCACTTACAATATTTTCATGCGAGACAGCTGGCCAAGCTCAGGAGCTAGAGTCCCAGATAAATTTAACCGTAGAAGCTCCCTATAATCACATAATACGAGGATATCATCAAGCGAAACATATTATAATAAAATGTCACAGGAATTAGATTCATCTGGAATTAAAATAAGCATGAGACTTTTCACTTTTCAGAGGGAAAATGCTCCTCTACTCCATCTATACACATTTTGCATCTTTTTTTACTCCACTTTCAGCTCCATCAAATATGCTGATACATAATTAACATGGTTTGCAAGAAGGTAATGAACGCTGCAATATTTTTCTGGTTTATTTAAATGAAGCTGTCAACAGACCAAAACAGAATCCAGGATGGCAAAATGATCTATTAAGAAAGTCAACAAAACTATATATATGACCAAGCCCAAGTTCTCAATTCATGACAAAAAGCAAGCCAGAATAGAAGCAAAGAAGAAGGGTTGTATAAATGATATGGGCATGATTGACAAGGAGAACACTTATGCACATACAGTTGCCGCACATGAAAGTATCCATCGCTTGCTGTTACATTGTAACAGATAACACGGGACCAATTTCCGACGCACGGATCTCCACGGTTCCAGTTATCGAGACGTCCCAGTGGATCACTCAAGCTGCCTCTGATAGCTCTCAAAGCATCGACTGCAGACCAGTTGAACCAAATGTACAGCAAGTTGGTCTCATAATGCAAGAAGGATGCAGAAAAAAAAATGTAGCACCCTGGACTTGTGTGCTCCTTTGCATCTCTCCTCAAGTGGGTCATGGTTACGAGGAAAATGTAAAATGAACAAGAACACCTACCAAATTAAACAAGAGGTATGGTGGTTAAGATGGATTTTACCTTCCCATGGTGCTGTGATCTGTGCACTCGTCTGTTGCACATGGGCAAAATAGAATGCGAAGATAATGGAGCAAATATAGAACAGTCGGGACCGTAGCATGACGCCGTTGTGGAGAAAAAATCCCCGATTTGGCGGTAATATTCAGAGTTCAGGGATGCAGGCTCCTTGTGATGGCAGAGCCAATCCCCTGAAAAGAAGCAGAGGAGAACGGTTACTTGTCCAGATCCAGGAACACGAAAATAATCTTGTCAGCAAAGCCGTGACGATGTGCCCTTATAGTACTTGGGACTTTGTTGACATGTGTATCCGGGAATTCTCAAAAGTCTGAGGAACACTCTGTGAAAAGCATACAGTCATGAAGCGCTTGGTGACCGGTAACAGCAATAAACACCGAAGATAGATTCAAGTGGTTATGTGATTGGGAGCATAAACTTGATATGGCATGGGAGATTTGGTGGAAGAAAAAAGTGTCAAAATCCTGCCTCCGCCGCGTGCATATCCACTGAAGGAGGCTAACAATCATGGTCATAGCATCATAACATGAATGAAGCTAACAAATAACAATCATGGTCATGGAGGAAGCTAACAATCATGGTCATGGCACCACACCATAGCATGAAGGAAGCTACAATGACTGCGCTTTTACGGAAGAATGAACGGATTCAATACCGCGCAAGGAAGACACCGGTGGTGAGTAATCGATCTGACACAAACAATGAAGTGGCAATGACAAGCATAGAAGGAGGAGACAAAGAATGGTGTCGATGGGTCAGTTAAAAGGTGTGACCGTGTGAGCAGTAAGCAGCACGGAGTCCTCTAGACAGTAGAGAATTGGAGTACGTGTTGTACTGTTGTGCTGGAGGTTGGAGAGGGGATTGACTAATGGGGAGGAAAGGGACGGCAAGCGGAAACTTTTCCTTCCTTTCCATGTTCTTCCATTATTGAATCCAATCCAAGACCTGTTCTTCCATATCTCGATCGTGGACTGTTCCTTCTGTCGCTCGCCATTGAAAGGGAAACGAGAAAAAGAATTGAGAGATCGGGGATGTGTCTCCCCTGACCTCAGCAACGCATACAATTCGCCGTTGAATCTGGTGTCAGCGGAACTAGATTGGGCCAGCAAAACCTAGGCGAGTAAGAAGAGGAACGAGTCAGGGTGAAAGATGCCGTACTTGAACGCCACGCCCACCCTGACGGCGCCTCATCCTCGCCGGCGCCGCTGGCCATGCTTGCTGCGCCACAGCGATGTGTTCCCACGGATCCACCGGACACCAGGGCAGTCAAGGGGACTAAGGGGTGGAAAGATGCCGTCACTGACGTTTGGGTCCACCATTATGAAGAGCGATAAAATGTTGACTTGTCCGGCGCGGTCAGTTTGATGCCTAAACTTGAAAAATACACAAAAGTGATGTCATAACTTGTTTGGACTTTCAAATACGGTACCTCTGGACGTATGCCGCCGTATCGAGTGCCCGCGTGGCATGCCAACATGTCGCTGGGCCACATGTCAGTGGTTGCAGGCGTTGTGAGCTACGCGTGTTTTTTATAGGAATGCCCCAGGATTTTAATCAATCTTGCAAAAATACCCCTTGATTTTAAGTAATAATCGTAAAAAAATACAGAAAGCGAGCGTGCAGGGAATTCGAACATGTGACATCCTCGTCTTCTGACAATCGAGCGGACCAGGTGGCCATAGTCTGATTTGCGCTTAATTATCAGCAAGCAGTTTATATAGATGATTGCACGTATCGCTCTGCGTATGCTTTTACCGGAGTAATTTTATTTATATTTATTTCCAAGTTATCATCTTGTTTTTCTTCGAGTGAAGTTTCTGTTTAGTTCTCATGATACATAAATTTTTTCCATGTGAAAAAATAAAATAATTATCAATATGAAATTTTGTCTATTTTCATTATTGTGTACTTTGAAGAGATAAACATGAACTTTTTCTAAAATTGATGTGGAATTAAAAAGTTGAACTTATCTTGAAAACAAAGTGAGCAGTTTTTGAAATACACGTTCACGTTCATGTTCATTTTTTTATTTTCCTATTATTTTAGAAAATGTTCACCATATTTTTTGATAATGTTGAATGCCTATTAAAATAATATTATGTAATATTATTCTTAAATTTCTACAAACACGCTTAACATGCTAGTACATTTCTAGAAGTTATTATTGTCACACAATAATATTTAATACATGTTGAACAGTTTTTAAATACAATATTGTCAATTTTAAATAATTGTGCATTTTAAAAATATAATGAAGATACACAATAATTGTTCTTGCTTATGGTGCTCAATGAGGATACATAAATTTACAGAATAATTTTTAATATACATTCATCTTTTTATGTCCACATAAATTTTAGAGAAAATTCATGTTTATCTCTTCAAGGTACACAATAATGAAAATAGAATAAAGATATAAAATCAACAATAATTGCATATTGATAATTATTTTATTTTTCATATGGGAAAATTTATCTATCATGAAAATTAAACAGGAACTGAGAAAAAAGTGAAGCAGTACTTCAAAAAAGCTGTAGAAAACATGTGCAAAGCGATACGTTTTTTTTCCGACAAAGGGTGAATTTTATTGGCTCAGAATGAAGCATCAAGAGAATACAAACATAATGAGCACACACCCGGCCTCTGCATAACTAAGATGCATACAGCCAACATCAACGCACACACACGCACACAAAAAAATACGCCGATAAATAGCAAAGTCAAATAAGACCAAAGCTATACACAGGCGATAAAAAAACACACGATCAGATCGGTGATCAGCAAACTAAATCGGTGACCGTATCCGCACCAACCATCCCATGACATCCCACGATCGACGAGATTCTTCAACAGCAACGCCTTCAGGAAGGGATTGGCGCTCAAGCGCCGTCGTCACTGGATCCAACCATCCAAGGTCAGAATCTAGGTTTTCACCCTGAAGAACCTGAACAAGCATATCCGAGCAATGCCTTCAAGAAGGTAACGATGTAAAAGCATCGCCATTGCTAGGGATAACCAACTCGGGTCAGGCCTAGGCTTTCACCCCGGAGCTCGAACCAGGTGCTCAAGCAGCACCACCATCGACATCATATGTGTTGTCACCACCACTTTTCCACGATCCCAGCAGCTGCATGCGATGTGCTCAGGTGCTGCACAACCATCCCTTTGCGTCAAGGCGCCGTCCATAGTTTTTATCTCCCCGCCGAAGTAAACCACCGGATCTTAAGAGAGCACCATCAGAAAGACCTTTCGGTGATCACCACGCTTCACAACAAGTCTGCCGCCGCATGTCGGGGTGGTCGCCACAATGATCGACACCACCACCGTCCCACCTAGCTGAAGAGAGCCCTGCCCATGCCCGTCGGAGTGTCATGGCCTGAACTGAAGCCTGAAAGGCATATCACCGTCTGCCGCAGGCCTGCGAAAAACCTATGATGGTCACCAAAATCCACAGTTCGACGACGGATCGGCCGATGCCGGCACGGTCAGGCCGGATCCAAGCGAAGGGCTGGCACGTCCTGGTGCTCGACTCTGCGGCTCTGTGCGTCCTTGTGCGAGGCGCCGGCAGACGTAATAGCCGAGAGCAGGCTGCTGGATCACATCCACGTACAGCACAAGGAAGCGGTGACCAGTCACCTGGTTTGCATCCATCTGAGCACGTTTTGGACATGCAAACATCACGGCTTGGATCCATCCATCTGAGCACGTTTTGGACATGCAAACCGCCCAGGTTCATTTGCTATGGCTGCTGTCACCGGGTCTTTTGACCGAGCAAGAGCATGCCGCAACCGCCGTCATCCGCAGATCCAACAGCCGCTGCCGAGGCTCCACTCCCGCCGCTGCACGCGCCGCCATCCACGGATCCGACGGCCGCCGCCGGGGCTCCGCGTCTGGCCGATCCAATCTGCACACGGATCCACCAACCGCCGTCTTGTCGCCAGAACAGAGAGAGGCCCCGCCGCCGCCGCCATTGCGCAGACTTTGCCTGGCGCTGGCCTCCGGCGGCGGCGAGGGGGGAGGAACCGGTGACGGGGTCGAAGGTGTGGTGGATCGATCGCCGCCCGTGTCGCCTAGGTTAGGCGACGCGGGGGCCCGTTCGGAAGAGACGTAGGTTACCTAAAATGGGAGAGATTTTCACTTCCCGGCATCTGCACCAACCAGGGATGCATACGGCCATTTTAGTATGAGTACCAAGATAAACATGGTCCTCAAATTTTTTTAAATGAGTATCAAGACATTTATTGATGAGAGGTTCCACCACACACCAAACTTGATCCTTAATAAATGGGGGAAACTCCTGTGCATCACCTGTCAATTCCAGAAATTGGATCGTGCATATAAGTTGCTAGCTAGCAGTTAAATGTAAACCAAAATGTTGTCTCTTAATCCGCTTGTTTGTTAGGCAACCCGCACGTCCGTGGTTCGAATTCCCTTCATGCCAACTTGTGTTTTCTTTTGTGTGTGAATTAATTAAAGTACATGCATGTTCCCGTAAAAAACAGTGTGTGTAGCGCCCGTAACGATTTTTTGCAAGAATTAACCAAAGTCCAAGGTCATTTAAAAAAACTACCGTCCGCAGCACTGGCATGTGGCCCATGCCTCACGGGCAGTTGATACGGCGGCATACGTCTAGGGGCACCATATTTGAACACCTAGAAAAGTTACGACTCTAGTTTTGTGTATTTTTCAAGTTTAGGCACCAAACTGATCGTGCCGGACAAGTTAGGGCACCTGTAGTGTATCTAACTCTCTAACAAAATATATAAGCTACTCCCTCGGTCTCATAATATAAGAGCTAGTGTAGCTCTCTTATATTATGGGACATAGGGAGTATATGTTACAGTAATTATCTTGTTGTATTCATATTTGAAGTAAGTTTCCAATAATACTATTTTCCCACATATAAT